TACTGGGCCAGCCCCTTTAAGGTATTTGGTTGTTGCAGGGGCTCACTAGGCAGCTTGGACTCATAGTGATCAGCCTGCTCCAGGCCCCTCGGTGCTGGCATTATAGGCATGTGCCACTATGCCCAGACTCTGGCCCGCTCAGCCCACCCTTGGGGAGGGGCTGGCACAGCACGTGCTGCCTAGGATCAAGCCATGGTCCCTGTGCTTGCCTAAACTTGCCTCAACAGGAGCTTTAGTCTGCTCAGCTATCTCGCTGGCCCACCATAGCTACTTCATCCTAAGGCTTTTTGCAATATGGGCTTCAAGGAGGTTAAGCGTTTCCAGGCCTACTGTTCTCCTGAGGCTTTATACTCAGAAACTCTAGTCAGCAAGTTTCCCCAGTCTTTTCCATTCTTCATAAAGCCTATTCTTCTAATTTGCTCATGTGCTGTAATTCAATTTTTTTCTTAAACAGCAGAATTTATTTATTAGGGGAAAGAAAGCTCCTGTCCAAGAAAGGGACAGAAGGGGACCAAAGTGAGTTGCCAAGGACTGTCCTTTTTAGGGATTTTCATATAGCAAAACTATGAGGTAAGGATCTAAGATGGAAAACACCTTAGGAACTTAGGTAGGTGGGCATGAGGTGGGAAAAAAAAATCTATGATCAACCAATAAGATTACAAGCACAACTGCTCAGGTAAAATTGATTAAACCTGGAATCAAATGGGGACGCGAGTCACCTAGTTTGTGGACGTGAATGCAGAACAGGGGCTTTTGCTGCTGGGGGTTGGGTCAGTCACTCGTCCTGACTTTCTCACGGTGAGAGACCTATTCAGAATATCAATCCTGAATGTTTATCTTTAGGGAGGTAAGCATTTGTTTGACCTTTTGTCCTGAGGTCTAATTTAATCTATAGCTAATAAATTGAATCTAATCTATAACTACCTTATAATAGGTAGTTGGCAAAGCAGAGGACACCTGGACTCTAATTCTTTTCTCATCTACTTCCAAGTATCTCTTTTCTCACTTCCTCAAATCCTTAAGTTCTATCTCACAGGAAACATGAAGCTACATATGGAGTTGAGATAAATGATGGAACAGATCTTATAAGAAATAGGACACGAAAACAAGAACATTGACAGGGAATTTGCTTTTAAAACTTAATTTCATAGGTAATTTTTATATTTAATTTATATTTAAATGCTTTCTTTTCTGTAGATCATTTATGTACACCCAACAGTCCCCTAAAACGTCTCGTAGATCTGCTTCAAGTTAGTGCCGCAGACCATACCACCCATGGCTAGACTGCTTAAGGATGGCTTCTATGTATTAACACTAAATTCTTCCTGCTCAGTCTATATTAAATTGTTTTTATACAGAAAATGGCTTTTATATAGATAAATTTCATGCATATTAAAGGACTCTGTATCAAGGTGCTACCTACTATGAGATCTTATTCCTCTCCTTCCCTTCTACAGAGATAAGTACTATAGCTGAGTATACTGTCATTAATATCTGTTGCAACTGTAATACTAACGGATATATCTATAACCCTTAGAATATTCTAGGTTTATTATTATTATTATTATTATTATTATTATTTCAGAGACAGGATCTCCCTATGTAGGTCAGGTTGGCCTTGGGCTGCGCTGAATTTGTAGCCCAGTCTGGTCTTGAACTTGAAAGGATCTTCCTGCCTCAGCCTTCCGAGTGCTGGGATTATAGGCATGTGTCACCATGCCTGGCTTATTCTACATATTTTAAATTTCTTTTTTTGGCAGTACTGGGGATCAAACTCAGGACTTTGCACTTGCCAGGCAAGCACTTATTGTACTGAGCTATCTCCCTAGCCCTACATATTTTAAATGTCAATCTGCTGGAGCATCATAACACTACAATTTTTCTTCTCATTTGGGATAGCTATTCTCACTGATACATGGTTTAGGAAAAATTAACAGATAAATATTTGATGAAAAAAGAGAAGTGGGGACATTGGATACTTGAGAAAAACAAATGTTTGAATTAGTTATTGCAAAGAATGTAGCATGAATTTACCAGAGAAACACTCAGATTATTTGGTAAAGGTGATTATGAAGTTGATGACAATGACTCTACGATGTGACCAAGGCAGTAAGCACAGCATGGGGATGAATCGCCCTGCTATGTAGAAGCAGGTACAGAGTAAGTGGGAAACTTTTTTTTTTTCTGGGTTGAGACATTTGCCTGATTGGCAAAGTTCCCAAGTTACTGGGGAAAGAATTACTGAAATAATATACCACTACATTTAAGCTGGAAAAGAGAGCCGATGAATTAGGACAAGAAAGCAAGGAAAAAACCTTACCATCCCGGTGAGATGGAATGGTAGAGGTAGCAGTAGCAATGTAGGCCAGCACAGCGCGACACACAGATGGGTATGGCTGAGTAATTCTAGCAGGAGAGACGTCATGGCTGTGAAAGGCCTGGGGTGGCACCCGAGGCAAAGGAGTGCACAGACGACTGTCTGAGACAAAAAAGGCCTGAGACAGACCAGCATGCTGGACTGTTCGCTCACCTGACTGCTGCGGTACCTAGTGTGATGGCGAAGGCTACACAGAAATGAAAGCTGGGAACCAGATGTCAAAGCCCTCTTGTGGGGAGCAGCCTGAGACCTCAGGAGGCGACACAGTTGTGGGGCAGGCTCATGGGAACAGAGGTTCTCCCAGACAGTGCTGCTCGAGCTCCAGAGGTGCTAGCAGAGAAAAAGATTGGCTCTACATCTGTCACCCTAGGCATTGAAGAGTCTGAGAATAGAAATTAGCTGGCAAAAAGGACAGTGAATGACGGAGAACTACAATTCACTTGAAATGCTGGATATCTAAATAGCTTTCCCCAAAAGCCCGAACCACTGCTAAGCACCTGGTGCTGTCAGATCCTTTAACTACAATCACCACAGCAAGCAGTAAACGTACGCACACTGGAATGTTTCTAGCTAAAATTCATTACATTTACAGGGTTTTTTACACAGAGACCCCTGAGAATCACCTCCTTTAATGAAATGCCAGGAAAATACTGCTTTCTTTAGTTGAACGTATGTATCACATTCTTTTATTAGAGAACAAGAGAATTTTAATAGACCATTCTTTAATATATAAGCTACTTGGGAAACTAAGTTTCCTAATATTTTTCTGATTATCTCAGAATCTGATATATGATATTTGCTAACTAATCATTCATTACGTGGTTTTAGTAAAAGAAGCACAGAATTTGTAACCGTAGTGATGTGGACTGAAATAACAATTCTACTTACTAGCTCTTAACCTTGGGCAATTTTCTTTGCAAAATGGGGTTTGATGAACTTAATTTGTAGGGTTAGTATTATTATTCTTTTCCCTTATTTTATTTTAAAGAAAAGAAAGATAATAAATAGTATAAAATTTCAAAACAATATTGTAGGAAAGTAATAATGGTTAGTGCATTGTGTACTGTTATCTTCAAAGTACTTGCTCATTTTATAAAATATAGGCATGAAAAACTGATCAAACAATATAGGCACAAATGTTTTGAGCATGTTCTTCTCATTTCACTGTATCTATTGCACATGTTAGGTCTTATTATTGTAAGGCTTAAATGAGATAAAAATGTAAAGCACTTTGGCTCAGAATAGGAACAAACTAAAGAAGTATTTTTTATTGTAGAATATCTAATTTGTATAACTTTTGTATTTTGGAAGTATTATAAAAATTAAATAATATTGTGCAATGAGTTGATAAAAAACTTTGTGAAAGAATTTTTAAAAATCGAAGTTTTTGTAGCCAAGCACCGAGGATTTCAGATGAGAGCCTGTGTTCTTAACTTTCCAGGTCCATGTGGCTGCGCTCATTGGATTTCAGAAAAGCGTGGACCCCTGCTAAGTGTCAGGTACTACTACGATCTAGAGATGCAGTGATGAATGACTGAAAACACCCCATTTTTAAAAGATCATGGTCTAACTGAAGAAGACATTAACTATTAAGTTTTAAACTAATGCTCTTTCTATATGCTAATGCTTATCCATGCCATTAGAAAAACAAGAGTTTCTTTACTCTTTTCCTTCTCTCTGACCCCTGTCCTATTTCTCAATAGACAACTGATTCCTACTTATTTATGGGTCTCTAGTTCATTCCCTCAGAGAAAGAAAGCAGTTTCATGAGGAGTCAACCAGCATTCAATTGGCAACGGCTTCCAATTTTCAAAAAAGTTCAATGTTTCTGTTGCGAAAACCAATACACATAGATAAAAGCAGAGCTGCCACACTTTTAGAAAAAGGGATGGGAGGATTAGGTTACATCTATTATGAGCTCATGACAGTTCAATTACTAATATAATTTATAAGAAAAATAATTTAGGATAATTGAAGTGATATTTTCCCACTGTCTTTAGCATGACAGAAAATTTGACTATAATAGTAATGACAGAATACTATGGGACAAAAATCAGATTCTATTCCATTATCCTTCTTTTAAATTAACAAGAAAAGTCATAGACAAAAAACAGAGGCTGGAAAAAGTTTCTAAGTTTAATTGAACCCAGGTTGGGACATTCTATTAAAAATTTCAGCAACTATGTCAAGAAAAGTTATTTTTTTTTTTTTCCTCATTTTATGTATTTGGTACAAGGTCTCACTATGCGGCTTGGACTCTTAGTGATCCTCCTGTTTTCAGCCTCCCCAGCACTGGGATTACAGGTGTGCACGCCACCATGCCTGGCTCAGTGTGCCCTGGGGGTGGGGCCAGTGTGGCATGTGGGGCCGGGGAGTGAACCCTGGTCCCTGTGCTTGCCAAAATAGGTGCTTAGTCTGCTGAGCTATCTCGCCAGCCCAAGTTATTTCATTTTTTTCTAGTTATTTCTAATGACTAAATAATAATTTAATATTACATACAATGATATAAACACCCCCCCACATATATACAGTATACATTCTCATTCCTTAACAAGAAAAACTTAAGGTGAATTTAAAAAGCTGTCCATTTTAACTAACTATACAAAGATAAATTTATTCTTACCAGTGGCCCTCTCAGTTTGCTGCAGGCCATTATTCCCTCTTTTCCACGAGGGAATAGATTCTTGCTTAGTAGTGTTAAGAGTCACAGCCTGATAACTTTCTTCCGAGACAGGAGTTCTCTGAGTGCAGTACAAGGTCCCATCTTGCTGGGCAACCACCTGAGTACTGTTTGCATGATCTGCCTTTGCTAGAGTTTGGCACTCAGAAGAATAGTAAGATGGTAAAGCCGGTATCACAGTGACCAGGTCAGAACAGGCATGCGAGAGCGGAGGGCTACGCTCTCGGTTCCACTGATTGAAGTTGTGTTCTGTGGGAAGCATGTATCTGGAATTAAAACAGTCATGTGTAACCATGCTTTGAGAATTCTGAGGCGTTACTGATCGACACGGAGACATTTGAGTATTTTTACTATTTGACACAGGTTTAGGAGGAGGATGAGGTATGATTAATCTACCCTGAGCTTGTGTAAAGGCATTGGCTTTGCTTGTAGACTGTGGCTGAGTGACAGGGTCTTTTCTGTTTGCATCTATAACGCCTGATAGGACTTTTGCTGATCCTGCTCTTCTAATTACTTTTGCTCCACCTCTCTGTGGATTGCTTTTCTGAGTTTTTGAGTCACTGTTATCTACAGGGCTTATATTTTCTTCTTTGGAGACTGACCAGGCTTGCTTAGTGAAGTTATAATCCGAAGGTATAAAACAGTTCAAAGGCACGTGATCTCTTCCAGATCCTCCTGATGTCGAGACGTTTTTGGAGACCTCCTCGGACTTTTTTCTCTCAGCGGAAGTTACAGCACAGCCAGGATCATTAGTCCTGATGCTGCCTGCAGGGCTTTTCATACAGAACTGCTGAGACCACTGCTGAGGGGCTCCTGGTCCGGCCTTCGGCCTTCAGCGAGTGAGAGTCTTCAGCACTGCTTTCTTTCTCGACAGTTTCATCAAACCACCTCAGTTTTTTAGTAGTCTTTAGGATTTCTATGCCTTTTTCTTTTTCCTTTGTTAATTCAATACTATCTCTGATAGCTGCTGCTTTCTGATTTCTGAATTTGAAGCCTTGTTTTATAAATAGTGTCTTGAAATAATCATGTTCATACTTAGATTCTTTCTTTAAAATACTTTTAAGAAACTTCACACCATTTCTCTCATGAATGTTGCATTTCATTTTCTTGTGCTGATCAAGTAAGTCATAATTAGAAATTACATTATGCAATGATGTTGATGTTTCAGCTATTTTTGGCTTTCTATCTTTTGAATCAGAATGTTGAGGTATATGGGCAGCTTGAAAACTGTCAGAAAATAAAGGCAACTCTTTTTTCTCACAATTAAAATATTTCATCTTTTCATCTATAACATCTTTTAATTTTTCTAACTCATCAGAACACTGTACAGCATCCACTTCCTTTATATGGACAGCATTCTTCACTAACGGCCTAGCCGACTGTCTGCTGGATGGTGAGACTGGAAGTGGTGCCATTGGTACAAATGAAGAAGGAACTACAGTGGTTCTATTTTGTTGAGTTAACTGACAATGTTTCTCTTGGTCTTGAAATGTAACCACCTCCTGAGTTTGAGAATCTGGAGTGACCCAGGCTTTGTTGAATGCAAATGCTGGGGTCTCAGTAACTAATAGCTCCCCACTTTTAAGTGCTCTGGAAGTGAAGTCATTTGTCTTCAGAGTGCTAATTTCAGAGTTTTTCTCAGTTTTTTTACTTAGTACTACTACAGGTGGACTATATACAAAAGCTACTGAGTTATTAGCAGTACTTGTGGCTCTTTCTACAGTTTTGCTTAAAGTGGACTGATTTTGTTCTTGACTATTAAAATGTCCCCATGAAGACAAAATACTAGGTTTACTTAAAACATCTGCACAAGGTGGGACAGACTGAGCATTTTGGGCATCTAAATTTGAAAGCCAGTTATTTATATGCTGAGTTTTCGAGAAGGACAGTTCATCCTCATCAAGGTGATTTAGATCAGCTGACTGCAGATTTGCTGAATTGAGAGACACAGCATTCTGCTGGACCGCTGAAGGTTCCTCTTTAAGTGCAAAATACAGTTCTTCATGCTCTCCCACCTCCAGACTGTCTATACTTGAAAGGGTTTCAGAATTGGTTATCTGCTTAACTTCATCACAAAATCTCTAGAGAAAAAAAGAGAGAGTATTTTATATTTCAGATATTTTTAAATAGTAAAATTAATGACACAATTGTTACTGAGTGCAATTCTCTTCCACATATATGACTAATAGCCCAGATGTAGAAATTATATTGTTGGACTGGTCAGTTCTCAGGGTAAAAGATAGGGTTATATAGATTTATAGTAAAATATTCTTGCTTTACTTTCAACTCCTAAAGTAACTATCCAATTATTCCAGCCATAAGTTTTCTTATTGATACACCACTCAGAGTATGGGTTTCTTGAAGGCTGCATAAAAAATTCCTTAAAAATCTATCTATCTATCTATCTATCTATCTATCTATCTATCTATCTATCTATCTATGGGTACTGGGAATCAAACTCAGGCCTTCACACTTGCCAGGCAGGTACTGTGTCACTTAACTAAATCCACCCACCTTTTTGATTATTTTGGTTTGGTTTTGAATAGCTATTTATAAATCGCAGCTTTCCCTGAAATACTCACTGGTCCTAAATGAACCTCCTAAAAGCTTTGTGACTTTGGTACGAAATTCTTGTTGGTGGGATATAGGCCCTTCTATAAAAGCTAATCTTGTAGTCTGTAGTAATGTTTTGAATTTTATTTACATGTTATAGCCACATACTTGGATAGAATCCACAGATTACTAATATTTAAAAATTCCCCAGGAAACTATAATATGGATTTAGGGACTACAGACTTATAAAATGACCTCCTTTTTGGAGATTAAGCACAAATAACTTTCATAAACTCAAGACATTTTCATATTTCAGCAAAATTTTCATGGAATTTATGAATCACTAAAAAATTTGTGAATGGGCCGGGGACATAGCTCAGTAGAATAAGCACTTGCCTGGCAAGTGCAAGGTCCTGAGTTCAATCTCCAGTACCGCAATTAAAAAAAAACCAAAAACTTGTGAACATGTAAGAGTATGTTAAATATTTAAAAATAATTTTTAATTTCTTACATATACTGATCTGTATCACAAATATAGAAATACATTTTTAAGAAAATATTAAGTTGTAAATTTAATAAAGAGTTTAATGAACTCAAAGCAAGATTTTTCTCCTTAAGATTTATTACAAAGTTTAGAAAGTTTAAGTATTCTGTTATGGGACAAAATCCATTTCTTTCTATAGCTCAGGAAATAAAGAAGTCAAGGAAATAAATTAGGGATCAGCTATTTCAGTTATGCAGTTGATATTTATTAATCAAGTATTGTATGAAATATGTTTAGACAATTATTCATGAAAGTTTCATATTGTTCATATTTGTCCTTTTACATCGTTGGCATTCTTAAAGTGAAACCAATCTGGAGACCAAAGAAAGCTTACTATTTCAATGTCTGTTTTTGGATTAGATATTTATAATTGATAATCATAAAAATACTAGGCCTGGAGGCCCTTCTGTGAGAGCGTGAGAAGGGGTCTGGGTCACAAGGTCCTTGTGGATACAAGCACGATGCTCACCACCATAAGAAAGACTTGGTGCAAAGGTCTGGGATGGTCTTGTGTCTCAAAGCACCTCCCAAGGCATCTTGCAATTTCTGGTTTCACAGCTTTATTTTTTTCCAAAAATTTTCTCACCACTGAACAACTAAATATGATGATCAGTTTTTCAGGTTTTTACTGTGATACTTGCGGCCTATTTTATCTTTGCTCTCCTATATAGTGCACATGTCTGGTTTTTCATCTAGCTTAATTTGAATTTAATGGGCCTTTGTGTGTTGGTTGTGTGTGCATATTTATCCTATTTGGAGTTAGTAGAATCTCTTGAATCTGGATTTACACCTTTCATCAAATATGGAACATTTTCAGCCATAGTTTTCAAAAAAATATTTTCTCTCCTTTGTGAAATTTGGATCAAATATGTTGACGTTTAGAACACTTTTTAATTAAATGCATATGATACTGGCTCACAGGTCACTGTCAAGTTTTTCCAGTAGTTTTTCTTCCAGTACTTCAGTTCATATAATTTCTACTGCTATGTCTTCAAGTGTGTGTATCTCTTTCTGCTCTGTAGTAACTATGTTTTTAAGCTCCTGCAGTAAAAATTTCTATTTCAAACACTGTGTTTTTTGAAACTACAGGGTCTATTTGGCTCTTTAAAAAAACTTTCAGAGACTCCAGGCCAAGCGTTGAGTGTGGGAACTTCCACTTGCTCAACTCGCCCCAGACCCCTCCCCAGCCAAACCCCAGGCCCAGTGTGCATCTGCCTGCTCGCCTTGCCCAAGACCCCTTTCCAGCCAGATACCAGGCCCTGCAACAGGCCTCCTGTGGAACCTTGCAGCAGAACTCCCTGCAGAGAGGTGAGGAGCCAGACCCACTCAGCTAATCCAGGAGCTGAACATTTTGCCAGAGTAGCACAGCAGGTTCACCTCTATAAGCTGCAGCAGGAAGAAGCTGAGCACAGCAGCCAGACCAAAGGCAGGCACATCTGGACAAGTTCAAAGTTGGTAGATACAGACCCGGTAAGCTGAGACACTTTGCTGGACCCAGATTTATTGAGAGTGTCCTCTCTTTTTCACTCTTGATCTCCAAAGGGGGCAACAGGTAACCAGGTGAATGAGTCTACCTGGAAGATCCCAGGTACATCAAGGGGAGGGGATTAGACAGAATTTAGGGGAATAACCAATTTAATATCTGCTTAGCTGCACAGATACAATGTTTGCTCTTACTGTTTAAAATACAAATCCAATAGTACAAAAGTTTGTCAACTGCTAAATATCACTACCCATTATTAGTGTTTCCAATTACAGTTCTGTAAATACAAAACTAAAACTGGCTTAACCATCTAATCTCTTGGGTAAGAATTTTGGTAGGTGCTAAGATTATAAGTGCACCAAAGCTCTACATCAAAGGTCAGAGGACAGTGCCATACAAAATGACAAAGAGAAGGAGCAAAATGCAGTCTCAGGCTCCGAGCCCACCCAGAACAAATGCAGGAGACACTAGCACAGAAGAAACTGGGAATCACACAGCTAAAATGTCTGAATTAATACAGTCTGAAAAAAAGAAACAACTGCAGAAAGGTATAGAGGAAGTCTGATCAGAAATAACCTCTGAAATAAGAAATCTGAATTTATAGCATCTGAAGTAAAGATCAACTGCAGAAACATAAGAGGAAATCAGATCACAAATAATCTCTGAAGTAAAAAAGAAAGGCTAACTATAATGAAGGAATTAATAACTACTTCTCATGAAGATACTGATAAAAAATAGAGGATATTAGAAAAACAATGGAATCCTTCAATGAGCAATATAGGAAAGAAATAGATCACGTGAAGCAGAGTCAAAGAGATATAGATGAACTTAAAAATCTCAATCCCAAGATTGAAAAACCATTTGAATGAAAGTGAAGATAGAGTTTCGGATCGTGAAGACACCATTGCAGCTAGTGAAAAGGTAAGAAAAGATCTCTTAAAAACAACTAGAATATAGGAAAAATAATTCATCACCTGTAAGAGGATGCAAAGATGAACAACGTGAGACTAAGAGGCATCAATAAGAAAGGAGTCAATACGAATAATATAAAAAGGATATAGGCAGAAGTAATAGCAGAAAACCTCCCAAATATGGAG